TAGTATCTCTTCCGCCAGGTGAACGAGTGATTGGCTCTCGTTGAGTTTATAAAATCAAAACCAAGTCTGACGGGTCTATTGAAAGATACAAAGTCCGGTTGGTTGCTAAAGGATATTCTCAAGAGTATGGCATGGATTATGAGGAGACCTTTGCTACAGTTGCAAAAATGACTATAGTCGCACCCTCATTGTAGTCGCCTCTGTTCGTTGTTGGCACATATCTCAGATGGATGTTAAAAATGCCTTCTTGAATGGTGACCTTCAAGAAGAGGTTTACATGTTACCCCCTCCAGGGGTTCCTCATCAACCTAGTGAAGTTTGCAGGCTTAGAAAACCTCTTTATGGTCTCAAGCAGGCACCTCGAGCCTGGTTTGTGAAGTTCTCTACAGTGACTACTTCACTTGGGTTCCATCCTAGCTATCATGATTCAGCCTTATTTATCAAAAATACCACTGCCGGTCGTATTATGCTTTCTTTGTATGTCGATGTTACGATTATAACTGGTGATGATATTGATGGGATTGCAGCACTAAAGTCAGAGTTAGCTCATTATTTTGCAATGAAGGATTTAGGCTCGTTGCGTTACTTTTTGGGAATAGAAGTTGCCTCCTCTCCAAAAGGTTATCTTCTCTCTCAATCTAAGTATATAACTGACATATTTGAGCGTGCTCGTCTTATTGACAATAAGACTGTTGATACACCTCTTGAACTTAATGCCCAACAGTTCATTGGGCTGCTGTTCTTCGCATTTTGAGGTATCTTCGTGGTACTCAATTTCAGAGTCTTTTACTTCCATCTACTTCATCCTTAGAACTGCGTGTATTCTCTTATGCTAATTGGGCAAGTGACCATACAGATCGTAATTCTATCACTGGCTTTTGTATTTTTCTGGGTGATTCTCTCATTTCTTGGAAGAGTAAGAAGCAAGATGTCGTTTCTAGATCTTCCACAGAGGCAGAGTACCGTGCCATGGCTTCTACTACTTGTGAGATAGTTTGGTTGCGTCGGTTACTCGCATATATGGGTGTTTTTCTTGATCGGCCTACTCCTTTGTATTGTGACAACAAGAGTGCTATTCAGATTGCGCGCAATTCAGATTTTCTTGAGCGGACCAAGCATATTGAGATTGATTATCATGTCACTCGACATCATCTTCAAGTTGGCATTCTTATGTTACCTTTCGTCTATTCTAATATGCAGATTGCTGACTTGTTCACAAAGCCGCACTCCACTTCGCGTTTTCATTTTTTGTCTGGCAAACTCTCGATGCTCATTGCAGCCACATCGTGAGTTTGAGGGGGAATGTTAATTATATTAGTTATTATTATTATCTTTTTATTTTTCTCTTCATTAAAGGTAGAATAGCCTTTCTTTCTTATTTCACTAGTCTATATAAACTTTGCTTTCAGTTGTATTTTATTTGGTTAAGCAATTCAATGAGAAACCCTAGCCTCTATTTTTCTCCATAGAGTTCACAATATTATATTAAGACTTTTTTTTTGTACAATCAAATCAAATAATAATTTTCTTTTCAAAGTGAATAATTTGTAGTATTGTTCTCTTTTGATTACCGATGCGTATCTATTATTTGTTATATATATATATATATTGTTAGGACTTTTCTTAATTGGTAAATTTGTTGGCAAAAGGTTGTATGAATTCAAAAAACAGGTATGTGGCAATTGGTGTTGTGGTCAACTATGGAAATTCTATTTCCGGTTAGTTGCTCCAGATTTGAAATGATTTTGCGGATTTAGAATGATTTTACGGATTTAGAATGATTTTGCGGATTTGGAATGGTGGCTGATTTGGTTGACTTCGGCTTTTTGATTGGCTCTATTTATAGAAAAATCCTGTGGGAAAGAAAGATGATGCTGTGGACTATTAGGTAGGGTGTATCATCCTAGAAAGTGAGTGCTGATCGGATATGAGTGTTTTGACGGAAATATTCTGCAGAAAAAGTCTGTGATAAGAGTGCTTGAGTGAAAAAGCTAGAAGATTGTTCTTTGGATGTGGAACGTTGTCTTTTGAGAGAAAGTTTTACAAAGATGAGTGGTGCTCGCTGAATAAAGCTTCTAAGAAGATTTTACACAGCGGTGATAGTGTTGAGGGAGTTTTTGAGTGTATAAGACCGTTTTTATATTATGATATTGTGTTCTTTGACATATTGAGTAATAACACGTATGAATAGTGTCAAAGTCTTGGTATATTAGGAGCATAGTAAAATAAATAGCCGAAAATATTAATTTATGAAATATATTCTTTCATAATGAAGTAGATAGACGGTTCTCATAAGTATTAATTCGGGACTTAAATAATAAGAGCACTCAATTTTATAATTGGATCATAAAATATATTATTCATTAGAGGATCAATGGTACTTATGGAGAAATATATAATTAAAGAAGTCAACAGAAAATTCCTAGCTTTAATTATGAACCGTTTATGGAGGATTAATTCTTATGTAGTGACTATATCAATGGACAACACAAATTTCATAAACATAATTGTTTTATAATTTTAAGAGTGCAATTCTAAATTTATAGTGGAGTAATTTGAAATTAATAATTTTGATATATTAATTAAAGTGTTAATTAATTGTCAAAATTATTGGAGCTTAAAGTTATAATGTTCATAGTTCCTCTCAACGGTTCTATAAGAATAATGTGAACTACATATATCATATTGAGTTATGATTATTAATTTAGAATTGAGAATTCTAAAATACACATATATTAATTAATTTAATTAATTAATATTAAAATTATTTTAAAATTATTTTAAATTAATGTGGATGAATGAGAATTTTTTTTCTCACACCTAAAAGCTCCCCACGTTTATCATCACGAGAAAAGACTTTTTTTTAATTTTATTTGCCCAATAAGATTTGGCCATAATATTATCAAAAAAGGGTAGGAAACATGTTGGTGCACGTTTCCTCACAGGAAAGCAAAAGGCACCTTCCCCACCTGCATGAGTGCGTGTATATATTATATATATACATATATATATATATATATATTTCCTTAAAAAAATAGAGTGGGGAGAAACGTGCACGTTTCTTTATCATGAGGAAAGGAAAAGTAAATGTGCGGCTGCACATTTATATGAGGATGGATCAATTTTTTTTTTTTCGGTAACAGTTACAGAAGAAAAAAGGAGAAAAAGGCTATTAAAAAATATCACATATTTTTTAGAAAAATGAGTGATAATTATAGATGATTTTTTTATTCATCCATCTTATGTGTTGAGAAATCTATTAGAACATCCACTCATTCAAGTTCACGTTGATCCGAAAATACATTGAGAAAGAACCGTGGTATTCTTAAAATTTAAAGTTTAAAACGGTGTTGGAGGAGTTTAAGATTAACGACCTAATTGAGCGATGGTAAAATTCTTCTTCTTCTCTTTAATATTTGTGTAGTTAAATTAACATGAAATAATGATCACATTAAATTTTAATTTATGTAATTCGATCGATACCATATTTCTGCACTTTTTTTTTTTGAAAATTCGATTTGAGAAACCAACAATAATAATGTCCCAATTCTACTTGAAACTCTGCAATTGATTTCTTCTTTGTGTTTATATCTGTTATTACTATAATCACTATTATTTAGAATGGCAGCATTCTTTAATTTCACGTTAAACACCAAATATCTACTCATATTGAAAAGCTCGCAAACTGATGTAACAGAAGCACAAGATAAAATTCGACATTCATTAATTCGCTGAGAATACCAAAAAATGGGGATCCAAAGAGTACCGAAAAGCAAGCAAAGGGTGATAAAAATCTCTTAAATTTAATTAATTAATCAACTAAATCTAATTCACCTTTAAATATAGGATTCAAAATTGAAATTAAAGGAAACTTACCCTACTCTAAAAGTGAAATTCAAATTTAAAGAAAATATTATATTTTAACATTAGAAATCAAAATAAAGAAAACGAAACCTATGGAAATTAAATTATAGAGTAATTGACACAAATAGTCTCTCACCTTTTTTCGAATAGTGATATTTTGATCACTGAATTTTTAATTTTGATATTTTAGTCCCTTAATTTTCACTTTTTAATGACCAATTTTGGTCCCTGACACTAAAATTGACATATAGTTTCTGAAATTTCACAATTATAATCATGCGTTAATCTGAGTAAGAACTTAAAATTTTACAAAAAGAATTAAATTATTTGCAAAATTGCTCTCTATTACTGTTAATACTTGTTGAAAACTATAATATTTTGCACATATTGTAACTACTTACGTAAAATTTTCAATTATTATACGATAAGAATGTGATTATCTTTGCTAAATTTAAGAAATCATTCCTAAATTTTAGTGTCAGGGATTAAAACTATCAAAAATAAAAAATTTACGAACTAATAAGTCAAAATTAAAATTTAAGGACTAAAATGTTACCATGCTCAAAGTTAACGGATTTGTGGCAATTACCCTTAAATTATAACTTATACCAAATAATAAAAAAAGACTTATGTGGTGCGGCTAGACCTAGTCAAAGTCACCAACACACTTTAAAAGAAGACCTAATAAAAGGCTTAAGACAATCCAAGACCAACCAAACCCAAAACCAATTAAAACCCAACAAGATTCCAAATGTCGCATGGAGAACAATAATGCATTAGTCTTGAGTACTTGGCTGAGAGCTTCTCTCTTGGTTGCATTACCAGCTGTTCCTTAAACGTCGTTTTCTAGATGAATTGCCGTGGTCTACTAGAATGAAGCATGCCAATTGTTTGCCTTGCAACTTATTAATAATAATAATAATAATACAATTATTATTATTATTTGCCTTGCAAAACAAAAAGTATGCAGTTCGAATTCGTGTACGTTTCTTGCACAGGAAAGAGTCGGAAAAAAACTCTCTTTTTATTGAACCTTCCTTTTTCTTTTTGTTTTTATTTTTATTGAAAGGAATTATCACGACGTATAATTCCACGTACTGCTAAGTGCAGGGACGAAATTGCTAAATAAAATAAAACATTTTTTTTCTTTTATTTTTTTTATGGAAAAGCTTTCAAAATAAAATACGACAGATTGACTACTTTGACAACATGCCCGAAATTCTCAAAGCTAGACCAACTACTAGAGAGAGTACAGTGTGAAAAAGCACATTGTCTGTTTTAGTATTTTTCTTGACAAAGAATCCCATCAAGAATAACAAATACACCAAATATGCATGAGAAAGATGAATCTAATTGACACTTTTTTTTTTTTTTTTTAGCCAGAGAGATAGAAAATAACAAGAAAAATATGAAATGAAAACTTTAATTCATTCCTTCAAAATTGCTGGATTAGGTTGGTTTCTCACAACCTATAGCTTGTTGCGTAATATCTTGGATTAGTTCAGTGATATCAAGATGAGAAGATCCACCTTCTTCTACAGCTTTCTTCGCCATTTCGGCGAGCTTTTTAGACAGTTTGCTTCTCTCTTCCTTTTCTTCTCCATCCATCAGTTTTTCTATGGCTTCCTTAACATTTTCAAACTTCACCAACACACCAGTCTTCTCCTCCTCACCCCAATTCACCATTTTCTCCACTCCAACTCTTACACCAACTCCCAACACATGCACAAGGAGTTTCTCATTGACAAACTGGTCGCCAAACATTGGCCATGTGACGACTGGCAAACCGGCGCATACCGCCTCCAGCGACGAGTTCCCGCCGCAATGAGTTAAGAACCCCCCGACCGCTTGGTGCGACAATATCAGCATCTGGGGCGCCCAACCCCGGATCAACAGGCCTCTCTTCTTGGTCCTCTCCTCAAATCCATACTCTCTAATCCACTTCTCCAACTCCTCCGATATATTCCCTTCTCTTATGACCCAAATGAAAGGCTTATTTGATGCTTCTAGGCCCAATCCAAGCTCCACCAATTGTGCAGGTACTAGATTACAAATACTCCCAAGGCAGGCGTATAAAACGGACTTAGGCTCATGTGAATCAAGCCATTTTAAGCATTGTGTTTCCTCAATAGCGGCCTTTTTACCTCTCTCAACCTTGTCCAAGTTTCCTTTGTTGCAAAGCGAAACCGGGCCAATACACCAGATTTTCCCGTTTCTTGCCTTTCTATACTTCTCCGCATATGCTGGCTCTAGCTCCTCAAAAGTGTTTATGACAACCCCATATGAGGCCATGTCAACTTCCAAAATTTGTTCCATAAATTCTTTTAGTTTTGGATCTACGTCCACTGGTAGCTGTGACTTTGTGAATTCGATTTGATCAGGCAAGCCAGGCAAGACAAAGTAATCTGACTCGGAATTTATGCCCTCAAGAACGTTGGTCAAGTACTGAAGACTCTGAAAGCACAATTGATTGAAGCAACTTACTGGTAGGAAAATAAACCTCGGAATGTGAAACTTGCTAGCTGTGTGGGCTGTCCATGGCAAGCACACATCGGAGATTATGCAGCTTGGTCGCGGTGTGAGCTGATCGAACAGTTTCTCCAACGGCGTTTGTAACAAGCTAGCTGCTTTGAAGATATTAGCGCCAAGGCCAAGTGAAGGAAGCTGATCAAAATTCTCACACCCTTTTGGCAAACCTGCTTCTTCACATGGAAGTTGGAGCTCAACGAACTGGATCTGGGGAGCGGCACGGGCAAGAACTGGCTTGAAACGGGATGCGTTTTGCGGCGTGGTGACAATGGAAATCATGACACCCCTCTGTGCCAATAATCTCGCCGTATCTACCATTGGGATCATGTGGCCTTGTGCCATTAAAGGAATCAAGAGGAAGTGAAGCTGGTGAGTTTGAGAATCCATTGAATAACAGATCTAGCTATAATGCCGAGGCACACTAAATAACTCTCTATTTGTAGGTTTTTCAAAAAATATATTATGAAAGAATAAAAACATTGTGACGTATATTTAGTCTAATAGATTCCAAACACGCAAGTTGCATTTGTGATAAAAAGAAAGCTTAGAAGATGACTCATAACTGAAACATTCATGGTCTGTTTACTTCAATAGAATGACGTAAGAACTTTATTAGGTTTATTTTGGTTCACAAGCAGAAGATTTTGCAGAAGGAAAATGACCATCAAAAATTTATGGTCGGAATTGCAGCGGGGACCACAGTACCAATCATAATTCATTCTCTTAGTGTGGTGTATTATGAATAGTTATGTTGGATTCTTAATTCAATATTTGGCTTATATACCAATAATTATATATGGTAAATTGTCATATAAAATTAAGCTCATTTAAAATGGTTTATTAAGATTTGGGTAATTTAGGCTTTAATGTATTCAATAGGATATGGGCATTTAATGTGTAAAGACTTAAGGGTAATTTTTATTTTTTATGATGAGCTAAAATAAAAATACCAAAAGATAACAGAAAAGTTATCTATATATAGTGGTTATGGTCTCCAGATCACACGTATTGTCATTCTATTATTTTTTGACATCCTGTCATCAGAGAGAGAGTAGAGAGAAAGTTAAAAGGATTCTCTAAGAAAAACTATTTATCTGGAAAACAAACCACACGGCTCTAGAGAGTAATTTATTATCATAAATTTAGGTACGCTTCCGCGTATTAATCTATTGATTCTTGGTGATGCCACATGAATGTTTTTTGGATTTTGAGAGATGTTCTACATCTGAGGATATTTCCTAAAAAGTTGTATCAAAACCTCTCATGCTGAATCATAGAGAATAATTTTGGATGATATTTGGTGAATGTATTCCATATCTTTTTTTTTTTGGTTTAATAAAGCAAGGAGGAGAGGAGGTTTTGACCGGCGGCACTTTCCTGCTGCCGGCATAGTGGAATCCAGACGCAGCCATGAGGCCGGGCTGGCGAGAGTAGTCGCGGCCTGTTGGCAGCCGCGGCAAAAGGAGTACGGCAACCTAGAAAGAAAGAAAAAAAATTTTCTTGAAGGATAGGTCGGTAGTAGCCTTGCCGCCACCGGCGTCTGGACATACCGGTGCAGCCATTGGACTACGCCAGAGGAGAAAAGTCACGGCCATCTGGTAGCGGCTTCTGCGGTCGCCAATTCACTTAGGGGTCGAACAGACCCATAGAGTTTGAGATGCATAGGCCCAATTGGGCCCGTGACATTAGAGTAAGCTATGGGCTTGGCCCGTAGCTATTAAAAAAATTTTAGGCCTTCAGGCCATTGATGGAATCACAGGCCTAATTGGGCCCTGACTTAATAGAAGCTGTGGGCTAAGCCCGCAGCCATATAAAAAATGAAAGAAAAAGGGAAATAGGCCAAAACTTGAGTTGAATTAAAATTAATAGGCCAATAGTTTACATAAGTTAATAAAGAGGTCAATTACTGTTTTCGTCCATAACTTGTCTGGTTATAAACCATAACTTGACAAGTTATTGTCCATAATTCACGGTTTTTGTCCATAACTTGTCTAGCTATGAACCATAACTTGACAAGTTTGTCCATAACTTATCTGGTTATGAACCATAACTTGACAAGTTATGGCCTATTAGTTTTTATAACTAAAAATTGGGCTATATACTTTCTTAAGCTTTTCATATTGGTCTATTTTCTACTATTTTTAAGGCCTTTAGGCTTTTAGGATGACAGGGGCCCAACTGGGCCCGTGACTCAAGGAAAAGGGACGTGCTATAAAGGATCCGGGTTGGGTTAACCTGACCCGGTCCAGCCTGACCAGTCAACGGTCAACTTACATTGACTTTGACTATGATTGTTGACTTTGACTTTTATCTTTTTTTTGGTCAATTTTAGTGCAATTTAAATTTGAATATTGGTATGTTTATATATATTTTGAGATGAATTAATTGAAGCAACATGTTGCCAAAATGACCTCTCTTGTGGAAATTAATTTGTTTTGAAATATAAACGATTGTGTGCATGTAACTTATGTGAATATTGACCGGCCCAAAGGAAGGTTGATATTTAATAGAATTGTATAAGCACCTATGGTAATAAACGCGTGATGATTATTTGGTTTTATACGTGAACAATAAATCAGCCCAAAGGAAGATTTATTTTTTGACATGTTCTTATTATCAGTATTTGATTACTACAGTAAGATATCACTTACAAATTAATATTTTTGTCCAAAGACAAAATATTAATGAAGTGCCTGGTATCTTGAGATGGGATTTACCTTTATTTGAATTTTATTGCTATTTTTATTTTGACACTTATGTGAGGTTATTTTGTTTGTTTGTTGTTCTCTGGATTTAGCTACAAACACTCCTGCTAATATTATTGTCAACATCAACTCTATTCCTATGCTAAATGGCACTAACTTTAAGTCATGGCAAGAGAACGTTCTGATAGTTCTCGAAGTCATGGATCTCAACCTAGCGTTAAGGGTTGATTCTCCTACACCTCTTATAGATAAGAGTGCCTCTGATGAAAAAAGGGATATGGAAAGGTGGGAGAAATCAAATCGCATATGTATGATGACCATGAAGAAGAACATTCCGGAAGCATTCAGGGGCATAATGTCTGAAAAGATTACTATGGCTAAGGAGTTCTTTGCAGACATTGAAAAGAGGTTTGTCCAGAACGAAAGGCTAAAATATGTACGCTATTGACAAGCCTAATTTCAATGAGGTATAAAGGCAAAGGTAACATCAGGGAGTACATCATGGAGATGTCTCTTCTTACTTCAAAGTTGAAAGCACTTAAGCTAGAACTTTCTAAGGACTTGCTAGTGTATTTTGTTCTGATATCCCTTCCGACACAGTTTATCTAGTTTAAGGTGAGCTACAACTGTCAGAAAGAGACTTGGTCTCAAAATGAGCTCATATCACACTGTATTCAGGAAGAGGAAAGGCTGAAATAAGATAAGGCGGAAAGTGTTCACCTGGCCTCAACCTCTAAGAACAATGACAAGGGAAACAAAGGAAAAGGAAGCTGCATATATGTCACCTCAAAAGAAACAACAGAAGAGACCGAATCAACCGGAAGGTACTAGTTGTTTCTTCTGTGGAGCGGAGGAGCATAAGAAGAAGCATTGCACCAACTATCACGCATGGCGTGCTAAGAAAGGTATGTTTCTTAATTCGGTTTGTTCTGAGGTTAATTTAACTTCGGTACCTAGACACACATAGTGGATAGATTCTTGTGCAACAACTCACATCAATATGTCTATGCAGGATTGCATGAGTTACTGAAAGCCAAGTGACGGTGAAAGATAGATCTATGTGGGCGATGGCAAGACGGTTCAAGTTGAGGCAATAGAAAAATTTAGATTATTATTAAAGACTAGACTTTATTTGGATCTTAATGAGACATTTATTGTACCATCTTTTAGACATAATTTGATTTCTATTTCTGCTTTGGAAAAATCTGCTTATTCTTGTTCATTTGGGAATGGAAAATTTAGTTCATTTCATGATTCAAAATTGGTTTGTTCCAGTTCTTTGTCAGGTTATGATAATCTTTATTTGATTGATACAATTGCTTCATTTAATGAATCCCTGCAATTAAGTACACGATGTATAAAGGAAAAATTAACCAGTGAGAATTCAGTTGCGTTATGGCACAAGAGATTAGGTCATATCTCCATATGGAGAATAGAAAGACTTATGTCAGATGAAATTCTAGACCCCTTAGATTTTACAGATTTTAATATTCGTGTTAACTGTGTAAAGGGAAAACAAACCAATAAAAGGAGATTTGAAGCCAACAAGACTTTGAATGTCTTAAAACTTATACCTATGAACATTTGTAGGCCATTCCCTATAGTTGCTTCGAATGGTCAACAATATGTTATAACATTCATAGACGATTATTCCAGATATGGCTATATATATCTTGTTCATGAAAAGTCACAATCGATGGATGTGTTCAAAAATTATAAGGCTGAAGTTGAGAACCAACTCAGCAAAAAGATCAAAATCGTTAGATCTGACCGTGGTGGTGAGTATTATGGTAGATATGACGGTTCAGGTGAACAACGTTCAAAACCATTTACTAAGTTCCTAGAGGAATGCGATATCGTCCCACTAATTGTTTGCTACGTTCCTAGAGGAATTGCACCGGGGACCACAGTACCAATCATAATTCCTTCTCTTAGTATGGTGTTTTATGAATAGTTATGTTGGATCCTTAATCTAACATTGGGCTTATATGTGAATAATTATGTGTTGTAGACTGTCATATAAGGTTAAGCTCATTTAAAGTAGTCTACGTACTAAGGTTTGGGTAATTTGGGCTTTAATATATCTAATAGGATGTGAGCCTTTAATGTGTAGAGACTTAAGGATAATTTATATTTTTATGATGGGCTAAATTAGAAATGCCAAAAGATAATAGGGAAGTTATCTATATATAGTGATTATGGTCCTCAGATCACACGTATTATCATTCTATTCTTTTCTGACATCCCATCATCAGAGAAAGAACATAGAGAAAGTTAAAAGGATATTCTAAGTAAACGTGTTGATCTGGAAGACAAACCGCACAGCTCTAGAGAGTAATTTATTGTCATGAATTTAAGTACGCTTCCGTATATTAATCTATTAATTATTGGTGATGCAACATGAATGTTTCCTAGATTTTGAGAGATGTTCTACATCTGAGGATATTTCCTAACAAGTTATGCATGTCAACCAAATTTGGGAAGGCTCTATAATGCATTTTTGCAGAAGCTTTTAATGAATTCCATAATTTTTTTTTCTTTTTTGTGTGTGGAAAAAAAAGGTTTCAAGTACTTACTAAAGCTAGTACTTTGAAATTCTGAAAGTTGGTCAAATTTGAAGAGAATAATATTTTTGTTAAGGGCAGAAAATAGTTTATATTTTCTCGATAAAGCATCTTATTTCTTGCAGGGGATGGAAATCATGAAGACATGTAGTTACATGTTGTAGAAATCACTTGCACGTGAAAAATGAGTCAGATTGAGGATGTGAAAGAAAATAATGATGATGATGAGGATGAGGATGAGGATGAGAATGTTTATATTTTGTAAAAAAGACATTATTGGAAATTTGGCGAGACTTTAAACGACATAATTCAATGTGCTGATTAACCATGCGTGGATAAGAGGCAATAAACCTTTTTAAACCCAAAAAAAAAAAAAAAAAAAAAAAAAGAAGAAGAAGAAGAAGAAGAAAGTAGAGCGGGGATTCAAACTATAAAGATTGGAAGTACGGGTGTAAATTTACCGTCAAGCTATGTTTGTAACCACAAGAGGAAATAAATTTTGAACCTTAACGTAAGATGTAGCTCTGCTGATGTTTCATACAACTCTCAGACTTCTCACCACTTATAGTTATTGTATATAGCAATTAAGGCCAAATGCTGAAACAATTTAGCACATATCATGGTCTAAGTTTGATATTTAATAATATTCTATAATTTTCAAGTAAAACACCAAAATCTAATCACATTGAAATGTAAGCAAGTTGTTCTTCAAACGTCGTGATCTTCTAGATGAATTGTTGGGGTTTAATAGAATGGTGCATGGAAACTTTGGAACTCTTTGTATTGCGTATAAGGATTGTGTGGTTCACATGCAGAAGAAAAGTTACATTTGTAATAAAAAAAGAAAGCTAAGAAAATAACTTACAACTGCAACATTCATGATAAGAAAATAACTCACAACTGCAACATTCATGATCTGTTAACTTCAATAGAATGACGTAAGAGCCTACCTCATTAGGTTTATTTTGGTCCACAAGCAGAAGATTTTACAGAAGGAAAATGGCCTTCAAAAATTGATGGTCGGAATTGCAGCGTGGACCACAGTAACAATCATAATTAGGAATACTTATGCATGTCAACCAAAATTTGGGAAGGCTCTACTATGCATTTTTGCAGAAGCTTTTAATGAATTCCATAAAGATGTGTTTTTTGTGCCAAAAAAAAAAAAGGTTCCAAGTACTTGCTAAAACTAGTACTTTCAAATTCTAAAAGTCAAATTTGAAGTGAATTTGGTTTTTTTTTATTTTTTTTAAGGGCAGATGGTTTATATTTTCTTGACAAAGCATCTTATTTCTTACCGGGGATGGAAATCATAAAGACATGTAGTTATATGTTGTAGAAAATCACTTGCACGTGAAAAATGAGTTAATGATGATGATGATGCTTATATCCGGTTAAAAAAAAAAAAAAAAAAAAAAAAGACATTATTGAAATTTGGCGACACTTTAAACGACATTTAATGTGCTGACTAACCATGCGTGGATAAGAGGCAATAAACCTTAATAAAAATAAAAATAAAAAGACAAAAAAAAAAGGACAAAACCCTTAAGCTATGCATGCAAAAACACAAGAGGAAATAAATTTTGAGCCTTAAGATAACAAGTAGTTCTGCTGATCTTTCATACAACTCCAGACTGCTCACCACTTATGGTTGTTGTAATTTAGGACAAATCTTGTTCTATGTTTGATATTTTATAACATATTCTATTATTTCAAGTAAAACACCAAAATCTATTCACATTAAAAAGTAAGCAAGTTGTTCTTCAAGCGTCATGATCTCCTAGATAAATTTTTGTAGTTTAATAGAATGGCGCATGGAAACTTTGCAAATCTTTGTGATTGCGTATAAACTTTGTGTGGTTCACATGCAGAAGAAAAGCTTTCTGGAATGTTAATATTTTGTGCCCGCGTCAATATATTTCATTATCTAGAAGGGACCACAGTTAGAAGTGATCATCACTTTCCAATAGTTTCTAAAACTGCATGCTTTTTTTCCCCCTTAAATATTGTAACAAATAAATGCACAAAAAATATAGAAACAAAAATACCAAGGCATGGCATCTTTGCTAAAAATTCATTATATCTACATTGAAGAATTTGGAAAGGCAATGATGGATGTGAATCAATTTGATGTCAAAAGAACAAGGTAGGGACCAAGAGCAATTTAAAATTTTCATATGTTCTATATATGAAATGCAAAATGTCACAAGTTGATCTTAAAGTACAAGCTACCAAACAGACAATTTTAACTAATCAAGCGAGAAAAAAAGTTTGCATTTTCTTATTTCATATTCCATTTTGATGATAATGATAATGTTAACTTCCTAGCTGATTGATCTCTTCAAGAAACAATGTCATATTAAGGTAAGAAGAACCCCCTTCTTCCACAGCTCTCTTAGACATCTCTCCAAGCTTTCTTGCTCTTTCTCTTCTCTCTTTGCTCTCTTCTCCTTCATCCATTAGTCTCTCTATAGCACTCTTGACAGTTTCCCTCTTCACCTCAATACCCATCGTCTCTTCCTCTCCCCACTTAGTTGGATTCTCCACGCCAAGACTTACAGCAATTTTCAAAACTTGCACAACTAGTTTCTCATTAAGAAACTGGTCTGCGAACGACGGCCACGTAACCATTGGAACGCCGGCACATACTCCTTCTAGAGTAGAATTCCATCCGCAATGAGTCAAGAACCCGCCAATTGATGGGTGTGATAGGATTAGTACTTGCGGAGACCAACCCCGGATCAGCAGGCCTCTTCCTTTAGTCCTTTCCTCAAATCCATCTTCTATAATCCATTTTTCTAGCTCTTTTAATTTACTCCCTCCTCTTATAACCCAAATGAATGGCTTGTTTGAGGCTTCCAAGCCTGATCCAAGCTCTATCAATTGCGGAGTTGTAAGATTACACAAGCTTCCAAGGCAAACATACACCACAGAGCTTGGTTCCCATGAATCAAGCCACTTGAGGCACTCATGATCATCAATAACAGACTTGTTACCTCTTTGAGCCTTGTCCAAGTAGTCTTTGTTGCATAAGGAAGCCGGGCCAATATACCATACTTTATCGTTTCTTGCCTTCTTGTATGCCTTGACATATTTCGGCTCCAACTCTTCGAAAGTATTCATGATCGCCCCATAAGACCCCATCTCAGCTTCCATTGTTTTCTCAAGGAAGGATGTCATACTCGGAGACGATGGTCCTAGTACCTGAGCTCTGGTAACCTCGATTCGATCAGGCAGGTCAGGGACAACAAAGTACTCAGTGTCGGAGCTTATGTTCTCAGGAACCTTGGAGGCAAATATGTTGTGCAAGCATAAGAGGACAAAGCAGCTTCCTCCATGGAAGGAAATCCTTGGGATGTCGAATTTACGAGATATGTTAAGTGTCCAAGGTAGGGACATGTCAGATATTATGCAATTTGGCCGCGGTGTAAGCTCTTCGAACAACTTTTCTGCTGGCTGCTGCAGCATACACATCGCGTTAAAGAAATTCTGCGAATATCCCAGAGAAGGCAGCATGTCAAAATTCTCACATCCTTCGGGCAAACCTGCTTCTTGAGAAGGAAACTTGAGTTGGATGAGATTAATGTAAAGACCAGACTCTATGGCACGAGCAAGGACCGCTTGGAAACGGGCTGCATTGTGAGGTGTGGTGACTATGGTGATTTTAGCACCGCGTTGTGCCAGCAGTCTAGCAATGTCTACCATTGGGATCATGTGGCCTTGTGCCATTAAAGGAAACAAGAGAAAGTGAAGCAGGGGAGCCTGGTAAGCCATGGGAAGCTTTGGAAATACAGAAAATTCTCTAACTTGAGGTGTATTTCTTTTGCTCAGATCCTATAAATAGCTCCAAAAACAAGTGGCGCTTTCTTGTTCTGATGTTGTAAGCACATGCGTATGCGTTTTAGAGAACAGAAATTGTGTGGACGGTGTTGTTTGCTCATCTCCAGAAACTCTTTAAGCGACTCTCACTTTAAAGAACTCTACACTTTTGTACGTTTGTTTAATTGCAGAATATGTGTAGAAGGTCAGAAATAGACAAGAATGAATGTCAATTTCTTGACCATATAAGCCAATAAAAGAACACTAGGAAATCTTTCATTTCTTGATCCTTCTTTTTGTTTTTTTATTATTATTATTATTATTATTATTATTTTTATGATTAAGTTCTCCATATAGAAGGATAACTGACCTCATATTCAAAAAGATAGAAATTATGTACACATATTCGTTGTTCATATACATATACATATTTCATTGTTCATAAACATAATACTGATAAGCCTCTACTTAGACAAGTCTATGTGAGGAAGGGTCGGGGAAGTGATTAGAGGATTGTTAGTGTATAGGTTCGTAGGTGTATAGGCTTATGTGGGTGTTGTGTGTGTGAGTATATGACTACGTGGCTAATGTGTGTATTAGTATATACTTACGTGGTTACTGTGGGTGTGAGCACAAGGGATTGTGATTAGAGGTGTTTGGGGCAGGAATAAAGAGGAGGACTCGGGGAATGATGAAGGCAGGCAATCATTGAGTCTGTATAGGGAAAGTCGTGGCATTCTGCTAAGCAGGCGAGGCTCTCTGGTTTCAAGAAACCAAATCTATAATTCTTGTGGATAATTCAATAAAGATTCATTCTTTCTTCTTCTTGATTCAATTCTCATGAAATAGTTGCTAGGAACTTACCAATTTGGTATCAGAGCATCATCTTGGGAGAATTATGGCGGCAAGAAAGGCAGAAGAGAGATTGAAAACTGTGGAGAAAGAGATCAAAGAGGTTAGGGTTACGATGGAGGAGGGAATTGGAGAGATGGAGAAGGGCATCGGTAAGGTTAGGACCGAGCTTACTCAGAATCTCACAGATCTTCGCCGGTTAATTGAGGAGCAGATGAAATTGTTCACGGCGCCGGTGAAAACGTCCAAGAAAGAAGGTGCTTCGACGTCCATGGCGGAGCAAGAGCAAATAGCGGCTCCGACGGCAGATGCGGGATCGCGATTGGTTGATGTTGCTAGACCACGCATGCGAATTGAGGAACGAGTGATAGATCCTAGGGTTTTACAGAATGCACCACTACCGGCGAAAACCATTGGGTTGCGTGCTCACGGTGGAGAACGACCGGCGGAACTCAGGAATTTGCAGAATTCCTGTCGCGATGGAGTGGAAGAAGAGCGAGTGGGTCGACGTGAGGGAATGAACGGGGGCCCACGGGAAGGAACGTTGGGACGTCGTGGAGAGTGGCGTGGGCTTTTTGGGGAACCTAAAAATCCAGGATTCCGTGATCAGAGGGGTGGCATGGGAGGAAACGGTTACAGAGGAGGGCGACATAGGGAGAGTGGGGAAAACAGGGGCGTTTTGGGTGAGCTGCCAGAGAATGAAGATTGGACTTCATACCGCCGACAGCAGGTAGAATGCCATGTATTTAGTGGCGATGATCCTGATGGATGGGTGTTCTGAATGGAACAATGTTTTTCCATCAATCGCTGTTCAGAAAGAGAGAGGTTGATTACCGTTGGTATTGCCTTGGAAGGAGACGCCTTGTCTTGGTTTCAATGGCAGAATGGCCGCCGTCCGTTTCACGGTTGGACGGAGTTCAAGTTGTCTCTTTTGCAGTGTTTCTGTTCATCGCAGGCTGGGAACCTTTGTGAGAAGTTTTTGGCGATTCGACAAGAAGGTACAGTGGCGGATTATCACCGACAATTTGAAGTTTCTACCGCCCCACTCTTAGATGTTCCTGAGGAAATTTTGGAGGGCATTTTTGTTAATGGATTAAAGGCGGAGGTTCGGGCGGAGTTAAGGCTCTTTAAACCGGAGGGATTAGGCGAACTTATGGAGATCGCCCAAAGAATTGAGGAGAAAAATGAGTTGCTACGTCGGGAGGTTGCAAGATCAAGAGTGTCAAGGCCACAATTTTTTGGAGGACCGCGAGCTGAATTTTCTAATTTTCCAACTAGAACAGTTCCTGGAGTTGAACGACCTCAGCGAGCCCCAACCATGGGGGATAGAGCAGTAAGCCAAAAACATGACTTTCCTTTTCGAAAGTTGTCAGATTCAGAGTTGCAGGAGAAGAGAGACAAAGGACTTTATTATAGGTGTGATGAGAAATTTTTTTTTGGTCACCGTTGCAAGAAGAAGGAGCTCCAGATTATGTTGGTTAGTGATGAGGACTCCACGGAATGCTTGGAGGAAGATATTGACGTGGCTAAGGTTGTTTGGGTGGAGGGGCAACCCGAGCTTATTGAACTTTCCTTGAACTCTGTGGTGGGCCTTTCAACACCCAAAACTATGAAGATTCACGGATCAATTGCTCAACAAGAGGTAATTGTCTTAATCGATTCTGGAGCAACGCACAACTTTATTTCCTTAAGTTTAGTAAAACAATTGCCCATTCCAATTTATCCCACTGCCGGGTTTGGAGTGCAAGTTGGCACGGGGGATTCGATTAAAGGGCAGGGGCTTTGTCAAGACGTGTCATTGAGTTTACCTCAACTAACCATAATAGAGAATTTTTTGCCATTGGAGTTAGGGGGTGGATGTTATCTTACTCATGCAGTGGTTGGAAACATTGGGGGGTATGCATGTGAATTGCAAATCTTAACTGATGAAGTTCTGGATTAGGGGGGAAGTGGTGACTTTGCGAGGTGACATGACTCTCTCCACTTCTATGGTTTCCCTTAAAGCAATGTTTCGAACCATTAAACATGAGGGACATGGAATCTATTTGGAGTTACAGGCGTTGGACGTAGAAAGGGAACTAGACCGGCCACTTCCTGCCCAGATCAGTGCATTGTTGCAGCTTCATCCAAGGATTTTGAATATGCCGGATGGACTTCCTCCTCAACGTAGGCATGACCACCGAATTGAGCTTCATCCGGGCACGGCTCCGATTAGTGTTAGACCCTACAAGTATCCTCATTTTCAGAAAAATGAGATTGAAAAGTTAGTACGAGAGATGCTCGCAGCTGGAATCATACAACCAAGCAACAGCCCGTTTTCTAGTCCAGTGCTTCTAGTTAAAAAAAAATATGGTAGTTGGCACTTTTGCGTTGATTATCGCGCTCTCAACAAAGCTACAGTTCCGGATAAGTTTCCTATACCGGTGATTGAAGAGTTATTGGATGAATTGTTTGGTGCCACTATCTTTACCAAACTAGACTTCAAATCGGGCTATCACCAAATTCGGATGTGCGTGGAAGACGTTCCTAAGATGGCTTTCCGCACCCATGAGGGCCATTATGAATTTTTGGTTATGCCCTTTGGGCTAACTAATGCTCCAGCCACCTTCCAATCTTTGATGAATGAGGTACTAAAACCTTTCTTGCGAAAGTTTGTTTTAGTCTTTTTTTGATGATATTTTGATTTATAGTAAGACCTTGGAGGAACATGTGGGTCATTGGGAAGTGGTTTTGACAGCCTTGGAGAACAACCAATTATATGTCAACCAAAAAAAGTGCACTTTTGGCCAAAGTCAATTGGAGTATTTAGGTCATATTGTTTCTTGTGACGGTGTTTCGGCCGATTCCACCAAGATTCAAGCCATGTTGGATTGGCCCACACCCAGCTCCATGAAGGAGTTGTGTGGATTTTTGGGTTTGGCCGGTTATTACCGGTGTTTTGTGATGGGGTATGTCCATCTTTCCTAGCCATTGACACAGCAATTGAAGAAGGATAGTTTTAATTGGTCCGAAGAGGCTGAGGCTGCTTTCCAAGGTTTGAAACAGGCTATGACCACTGTTCTAGTTCTAGCATTACCGGATTTTTCAAAACCATTTGTGGTAGAATCCGATGCTTCAGGCTTTGGGATCGGCGCGGTTTGAATGCAACAACAACGACCTATAGCCTACTTTAGTCAAGTTTTGTCCTCTCGCGCTAGGGCCAAATCGGTTTATGAGCGCGAGTTGATGGCTGTGGTATTGGCCATCCAGAAATGGCGACATTATCTTCTTGGGCGTCATTTCATTGTCCGCACGAACCAGAGGAGTTTAAAATTTGTGTTGGAACAACGTTTAGTTGGGAAAGAGCACCAGAAATGGCTGTGCAAATTGTTGGGTTATGCTTTTTAAATCGAGTACAAACCAGGAACGGAAAACCGCATCGCGGATGCTTTGTCTAGGCGGTCTTCGGGGTTGGAATTGATGCTCCTTACCACTTCCGCATTATATGATGGGGCTGATATTAGGCAGCAACTTCTAGGTGATCCGAAGTTGGTGGGAATTCAGAAAGCATTGCTGGACAATCTGAAGGGGGTGAAGGGTTTTTCCTTATGCAATCACATGTTGTTGTGCAAGGGTCGGGTGGTCTTGACTAGGCTATCTCCTCTTATACTGGTCCTTTTGAATGAATTCCATGGTGGCAAGGTCGGAGAACATTCGGGAGTCCTAAAGACATTTAAATGATTGTCATCCGAGTTCTTTTGGTATGGCATGAAAAAGTATGTCATCTCGTTTGTGGCAGCTTGTCAAGTGTGTCAAGAAAACAAGGCTTCTACCTTGGCTCCTGGGGGATTATTACAACCATTACCATTGCCAAACTTGGTATGGGATGAGATTTTGATGGATTTTGTGGAAGGCTTGCCTAAGTCGGTGGGAAATGATTCGATCTTAGTGGTTGTTGACCGGTTGAGTAAGTATGCACATTTTTTGGGTCTTCGTCATCCATTTTCTGCAAAGTCGGTGGCTGCCCTATTTATTAAAGAGGTGGTGCGACTCCATGGTTTTCCCCGGACTATTGTGTCCGATCGCGACAAGGTTTTCCTAAGCCAATTTTGGAAGGAGCTCTTTAGGCTGCAGGGCACTTGCATCATAGTACAGCTTACCATCCACAAACGGATGGGCAAACGGAAGTGGTGAATCGTTGCTTAGAAGCCTATTTACGCTGTTTTGTTTCCAGGAAACCTACTCAGTGGTTTTCTCATCTAGCGTGGGCTGAATTTTGGTATAACACAAGCTTCCATGTGTCCGCAGGAACGACTCCTTTCAGGGCATTGTATGGTCGTGACCCTTCAAAATTGCTACGTTTTGATTTGGGTTCCACCGCGAACTCTTTGTTAAAGGAGCAATTACAAACTCGGGATGCTATCTT